TGGCCAGGTGTTATTTCAGATTATTCTATAAAAAACACAAATTGGGATGGGATAACAGTGAGCAGTTTAATCATCCCCATCCAAGGATGGCCATGTGGGAATGGCTCATGGCTGCAGCCTGGGACATGAGACTTCTCCTGTCTGTTCCTCACCTGGGACACAGCTGCTTTTATGTCTTTGCCAGCACTGCCAAATCAATGTCAGGGAGGTGCCAGCCACCAAATGAATGGTAAATATGCCTGGGCTCCAGGTTTGAGATGCCAGAGAAGGAGACATTATAATGATTTTATTATCACAGAATCATCTCCAGACACACAGACAATGAGCTATCTGAAATCCAGTATGCCCATGTATTTAATTTTCTGTACCTGTGAGGGCTTGGCTTTTCAAGGCGTTTTTCTGTGTTGATCTGTGCATGAAGTCAGAGCCGGGGGGGATTAAAGAGGTGTGTGAGGATGAGGAGGAGAGGCTGTGTGGGATCTGCTGACTTTATCAAACAGCCAGGACAAGAAGCAAAACGTCGGCAGGAGCTCATTTGGGCCCAGTGTGGTTTCTCTCCTGAGCTTTGTGTTTGTTCTGCTTTGTTTTGCAGTTTGCCCAGCTGGTGTCTGTCTACAAATCCTTGGGTCCGGAGAAGTTCCCTCTAATCGAGCAGACGTTCTACCCCAACCACAAGGAGATGGTAGGTGCAAACTGCAGTGCTAAATCTGCTTTCTGTGCCTGTGAAACAGCCATGGGACACACAGCTCCCTGCTCCCATTTACTGCCTACTCCAAAAGCCATTTTGGCAACTTTCAGGGGGGTGGCACGGGGTGACCCCTGGAAATCACGGTGATGCTGAGCTGGAGGGTGCTCAGATGGGAAGGGCTCATTTTTCAGTGCCCAACTGCAGATCTCAGAGAGATTAAATGTTTACAAACACACTGAGCAACTCTGAAAGTGCAGGAGTCCCTTCCATGGTTTGTTTTCCCTCCTGGTGCGTTCAGTGTTTGTTGTCTTTGGAGATGATGCCCTGGGCACTGCAGAGCTCTGAACTCAGCCAAAATCAGCGTGGTTGTGACTTGTGATCTCCAGGGACCTGAGCTAACACCGATTCCCAGTGCTTTGCAGACAGAAAAACAACCCAGATGAGCTGTCAGAGTGCAAGGAGCACCTGGATGGTGGCTTTAGGGTGTGGTTTAGTTTTAGGCAGCAGGAGTGGGACACAATGGCCTTTAAGGGATCCTTCAAACTTGAGATTGGCTATAATTATATTGAAAAACCCAGGACTTTGGGGTGCATTGCTAAACTGCAGTCCATAGAAACAAAGAACATTTAATTTTGGGGCAAGAAATAATGTGTCAGACACAGGAGTTTATATGGATTTTTTTTCTGAGTGTAGCAACCCTGTGAGAGGTTTTCCCTGTCTTCATTCCTCTACATTGCTCATTACATTCAGAACTTATAAGTTATTTCTCCTTTGTTTGAGCTTTTGAATGTTGTTCTCCACAGCCAAGTAATTTTTTTGGACATATTTCTATGGTAATGAATGTTAATCTAGAGAAAATGAATCCGTTTGGGTATTGCTTTGCCACTCAGAACTGCTGCAATAGCTTTCTGTGATGACACTCATTTGTTTGGCTTTATTCTTGTTGAAGAAAGGATCTGGAACTTTGTGGCTTGGGAAATAATCAGGCAATGTGGTACAAGACAACATTTTGTTTGAATTTCTCGAGTGGGTTGTAAGATGATCTGGAAATCAGAGTCTTCTGATGCTGCACTGGAATCATACCATGTTATTTTGTTTTGGGTTTTCAACACCTCATCAACAGCTGGCCTCATCTGCATTTGTTGATGCAGAATTTGACAATTACAGTCGAAAATATTTTTTTTCTGTGTGTGTTTCTGTTGCTTTTTCTCCTTCCCTTTTTGTTCTCTGAACGGGAACCTGGAGCTGTCCCCCCTCTCCAGTGCAAACCAGCTGGGGGGGGACGTGGGGAGAGGGAAAAAGCCCCAAATCTCTGGGAACTGAGGGTCAGCTGTGCTGCCAGAGGTGCTCCTTTCATCCTCTCTGATCATTTGTGCCCAGGCTTTAGGCAACACAAGGTAAATAAACAAAGATGCCGTTCTTTTGTGTAAAAATGGAGCTGCTTTAATGAAACACTTTTTGAAACAGAAACATTCATCCCAGACTGATTACAAAAAACGCTTTGAGGCTTTTGAACTCATTGCTGGTTGAGTCATATCTACAGCCTTTCCCTCAGTAATTAGTTCCCTTTATTTCACTGCATTCTCACCTCTTCTGTTCTCTCTGTAGCAAAAACAACAAGGCTTTTTCAACCTTTTAATTGCTGAACAATTTAATTCAAACTTAACTGGAACGTTGAGGAAACACCAGCAATATTCCAGGTGGTGATTTTTTCCCCTGTTCACCTATACACACTCCCTTCTCTTTTCCCTACTCTTATCAAAAGTCATGATTAATTCAAATTAAAGACAAATGTTGTTCCAGGCTGTATTTCTGCTCTGCGCTCTCATGTGACACAAACACAGTTTCAAGAAGTAAAAAGAAAACCTTGTAAGAAGAATCTGCTGTTGATAGGGAATCAATGCCACTACAGTAAAAATCCTGATATTAAAATAACATGTTCAGAATGCCACTTGTCATAGCCAAGCCTTTTGAGAATCTTCCTCAGGGAAAATGAAATCTCATTCTGTTTTTGTAAAGCTTTTCTTGCCACATTTATTGATATGGGGGGGCGGAATCTTTGTACCATCCATTGTGGAAAATTTGGGCAGATTTCTGCTCAGCCAGAAATTAAAGTAGCCAGACTTTAATTGTGAAGCACCTCACGTGGGATATTTTATAGCAGGACAAATGGAAAATGTTTTTAAATCTAATTGTGGCATGCAATTTGTATTACACTCTGTCCATAAATATCAGAGAGAGCATTTCTTGGTGCAAGGTGCACAGAGAAGGCACTCTGGGCTGGGTGAGTGAGTTTGAGGTCTAATTACTGTAAAACTGAAATAGGAACAGAGCTCTGGTGACTTAAAAGCAGAGAACATCTGTTTGCTGCAGAGTGCTCTCCAAAAGGCACCATCCCACCAAAATGGATTTGGAGACAAATGCTCCAGGGCTGGTATTGAATATTAACCACTGAATATTAACCACTGAATATTAACCACTGAATATTTATTAACCTTTGTGCTTATTAAGCTCTGTGGGATTCTCTAGGAATTGGTTTGATCTGACACGAAGAAACAAGGCCTGGCTTTGAATCGTTCTGAAAATTAATAATATAAATGCACAGCACTGTCAGTAAATAGCTCTGCCAATACTGTCACTGCAACATCAATTCTTTTGGAAGAAATGTAGCTTTCTATACTTTTTGTTTCATTTATGTAAGTCTATGGTCCAAATTGTTAGTGTTAGGATATTTTTGGTTTATCTTGGGTAAAGCAGAAAACAAGCTGGGCTTTACATTTGGCAGCACATAGATATGGTTTTAATTTAGGGTTGTAAATTAAAAGAGCCAGACTGAGTTGTAGTAAATCAAAAGTGAAACATTGGCTTTTCTATATTATGGGACACGTTTTCCTCAAAGGAATAATGACATGTTTTCCTGTTGGCCTTGCACCGTTTGCATTTCACTGGAAATGTACAAACTCGGTCACAGGAAAAGTAAATCTTTTTCTCAGGAGAGCATATCCAAACCTGTCCTTGAGATAGTAAAACCTGCCAGAAAAGGCAGCTACTGGAGATTCCCACCCTGCCTGAGGGCTCTCCCCCTTATTGGGGGGCACAAATAGGCTGAACTTTGGTATTTACAATTCCCAAAGTTTCACCACTGTGAATTGAATTACTTTTATAAACTTGAATACATGTGTGAGGGATTAGTTGCTAAGTCCAGTCATCAGTTCAGGAAAGTGAAGACACTAAAAATGTGACAGACACAATGTGTTGTGACCCTTCTCTAGTTCCAGTTCACGAGTAGCCAAATTCCCTGACAGAATTTGGTGGGTGTTCATGAATTAAAAACAATTAAATCCTATTAAATGGGGCCAAATACCTGAGAGCTTCCTGGAATCACTGCAGTGTAAGTTATGCAATATTTATTGCCTGTATTTTCACATGGGTTTCTAAAGTCTTACCAGTGCTGGGGTACAAACACCTGGCCTTGTGTTCAGGGAGGTGCTCAGGGCTGCAGCTGCCCTGAGGATGGACATGGTGTTTGTAGCTCTGAGCAGCTTTAGCCTCTCATCATTTGGGCTTGGAATTTGGTCCATGGAATGCAGAAATCCATGGATCAGTGCTTGAACTGATGGATTAAAAATCTGGCTTTTCCTTCAGCAAGGTGTGGTTAGTCCATGGGAATGCTGACTTGGGAAGGGGGTTTTGATTATCAAGGCTGTTTCTTCATTTAATTACCCATGGAAGTTACAGCTCTGTGGCTAAAGGAAGCTGTGACATAAGGAACGTACAAAATGTGGAGCACAGATTGTTTTAATCACAGAAGTGTTCAACTTGTTTCAACAGATGAGGAAATATTTGTGATTCTTTTTTTTTTTTTTTTAATAGCACATTGTTATAATACTTTACATATACACTGTACAATAATTCTTTCGTATCCAAGAGACTTTCATACAGAAAAAAAAAAAAAAATAGTTCTATAAAACATTCCATAGTTCCTCGGGAAGATTTGGAATAAAACACGGGGAGCTCTTAATCTGCAGGTTATCAAACGGGGCGAGGGGGGCAAAACTCGGGCAACTCTTTTGTTCTCGTACATTCATATTGGCAGGACGGGAGCCGGTTCTGCCCTGGGGGACACGGCCAGCCCTCCGTGCAGGTGGCACAGGTGTCTCCAGGAGGGGTGCCCCTCGTCCCGCCGCCCTGCCAGCCCCTCAGAGCCTTTGGGGACAGCTGGCCTTGGCTTCTGAGCCAGAGCTCCGCGCAGGCCGGGCTGGGGGAGCCTCCCGGGGCTGTGCTTGGAGGAGGAGGAGGAGGAGGAGGAGGAGGGAGATCCTCAGGGTTCGGTGATGTCGATGAATTCCTTCTCGGGGGGCGGCCCCCCGCGGTACCAGCTGCAGGTGCCGTCGCTGCGGCGGATGCAGGCGTAGTGCCGGGCCTGGTGCCCGTAGAGCCGCCTCTCCACCAGCCAGTCCGTCCACAGGCACTCGTTGGGGGCCGTGATGGAGCAGGGCACCGAGTAGCACGTGGTGATCTGGGGAGAGAGCTCCTTCAGAGCCTGCGGCGCCTTTCCCAGCGCTGCTTCCCAAAGGGACGCGCCAACAGCGCCACGAAACGCCGGTCCGCCCTGCACCCACCTTGCAGCTTCCATTCAACGGGGGTTCATTCTCAAAAATACGAGTAAATAGTGCTTATTTACATTTATCTGCTCTGCACCCACCTTGCAGCTTCCATTCAACCAGGGTTCATTCTCAAACATACGAGTAAATGGTGCTTATTTACATTTATCTGCTCTGCACCCACCTTGCAGCTTCCATTCAACGGGGGTTCATTCTCAAACATACGAGTAAATGGTGTTTATTTACATTTATCTGCTCTGCACCCACCTTGCAGCTTCCATCCAACCAGGGTTTATTCTCAAAAATACGAGTAAATAGTGCTTATTTACATTTATCTGCTCTGCACCCACCTTGCAGCTTCCTTCTGAGTCTATTCTCAAAAATACTGGGGTTTATTCTCAAAAATACAAGTAAATGGTATTTATTTACATTTGTCTGCTCTGCACCCACCTTGCAGCTTCCTTCTGAGTCTATTCTCAAAAATACTGGGGTTTATTCTCAAAAATGCGTGTAAATGGTATTTATTTACAATTATCTGCTCTGCACTCACCTTGCAGCTTCCTTCTCAGTGGGGTTTATGCTCAAAAATACAAGTAAATGGTATTTGTTTACATATGTCTGCTCTACACTCAATTTGCAGATTCCTTTTGAGTCTCTTCTCACCAATGCTGGGGTTTATTCTTAAAAATGCAAGTAAATGGTGTGCAGGATGACAGACATTGCTCTGCTCTGCACTCACCTTGCAGCTTCCTTTGCACCAGGGTTTATTCTTAAAAATGTGAATAAACGGTGCTTATTTACATTTATCTGCTCTGCACTCACCTTGCAGCTTCCTTCTGAGTCTATTCTCAAAAATACAGATAAATGGTGTGCAGGATGATAGACATTGCTCTGCTCTGCATTCACCTTACAGCTTCATTTTGAGTGGGGTTTATTCCCAAAAATACAAGTAAATGATGCTTATTTACATTTATCTGCTCTGCACTCAACTTGCAGCTTCCTTTGAACCAGGGTTTATTCTCAAAAATCTGAATAAATAACGTTTATTTAAACTTATCTGTCTGCACTCACCTTGCAGCTTCCTTTTGACTGGAGTTTATTCTCAAAAATGTGAATAAATGGTGCTTATTTACATTTACCTGCTCTGCACTCAATATGCAGCTTCCTTTTGAGTTTATTCTCAAAAATACTGGGGTTTATTCTCAAAAATACAAATAAATGGTGTGCAGGATGACAGACATTGCTCTGCTCTGCACTCACCTTGCAGCTTCATTTTGAGCAGGGTTTATTGTCAAAAATGTGAATAAATGGTGCTTATTTAAATTCACCTGCTCTGCACTCACCTTGCAGCTTCATTTTGAGTGGGGTTTACTCTCAAAAATGCAGGTAAATGATGTTTATTTGCATTTTTCAGCTCTGCACTCACCTTGCAGCCACAGCCCATCTGGTACCTCTGGTTCAGGCTTTTCTTCTGAGACAAGGATAAATCATCCCACGGCTCAATGTAATTGCACAAGTGGATCAGCACTTTGCCATCACTTAAAATTTGGCCTGCAGCATGGAAAACACAAAAAAATCAAAGCAACAAAAGTGTTTTCTAAGTATTAGAAGTGTAAGAGTACCTTGAGTTTTTAACTAATTGCACCAGATTAGTCATGCTTTAAAATTTTTAGAATTAATTTGATCATAACAGAGGGAACATTCTCCTAATTGCATGCTGTGTGATGTAAAAAATTGAAGAAGGATATTTTTCTGAAGATATTTATAATCTGCCAGCAAGGGGTGGATGCAAATGCAGCTAAACTGGATTTTAGGACTGTCTAGAAAAATCTGTAGTTACTTGGAGCCCCAGACCTGCAGACACACAGGCACGTGTTTTCTCATTATGCACTTTTGCATTCCTGGGAAAATCAGTACTGTTGGTTTTAATCAAATAATAATGGCAAATACTGAATCAAAATTCCTTCTATTTACTGATTATATCATTATTGACCTTCACTTGTTTTGAATTGCTCCAAGAGTGCTGGAGGAAGGGTGGAAAACATGTAAGATCACACTAAAACTACAGCTGAACACGATTTTTACACCCCATTGTGTTTCTATTTAATACATAAACACATTCCTTTTTAGCACATTTTAGCCAATTCACTCTAAGCAGCTACATCTGAATTTCCAGGAACATGAATTTTGCTCCATTTTACCTGTTAGAAGATACTGTTTTTTGTTGTTGGCTTCTAGTTTCACTCCACAGAGTGATGAATCAAAAGGGGTGTAGACATACTGGACATCCTTGAGCTTTTCAAATCCTTTAAACATCTGAAAATGATCAGAAACAGAGAGTCAGTAGTGGAAAACAAGCATGAACAAACAGTTGCAAACAAGAGCTGGAAGAGATACAGGGTGAGACTCTTTAAATAAAGCTCCAAAGTCTGAATTAATGTGAGAAAACACCAAAAACTTCTCTACACTTAATGAAATACATCCAAGAGTTTTAGGAGGAAATTAAGTAGGTCTTAATTTTTTAAATTACAGCTTTTAAAATGTGCTTTTTCGGTGTATTTAATGGATTGTTAAAACTTCCTCTTCAATTTATATTCTACTGGCATCATCCATTCAAGGAGCAATGCAGAGGCAGCATTCACCTCGACCAAAATGCAAATATTTCTCAGTGTATTCCTGTGGGGAATTTTCTCACATCACTGTAGTTGTTGGGATCTCCTGGGACACCGAGCACTGAGCATTCCCTGAGCATTGTTTTCATATTTGGTCACTAAAGCAGAGTGGTTTTCCATATCCAAAATTCTCACCAGTGGGACCTTCTCAAATAACTGTTGGAAAATGTGATCCAGCCCTTAGGATTTACACCCTGCACGCCCCAAAATGGAGAGATTTGGGGTCACAGCACTTCCCAGGCTGGCTGCCCTTTAACCAGCAGATTCAACCCCCAAAAGAAATCTAAAATGAGCCATCAGAGGATGAGAACAGGCTGAGCTGTGTCCAAGCACAGCGAGGAGGGAGCAGAAGGTGCTGCTGAGTGCCTGTCATCACCTCGTGTGCCACCACCAGCACGGTGACATCATGCCACGTGTTGACAGCTGGGGACAATGGCAGGGGCTCACAGCTCTCCCCACTGCAGCTGCTGTCCCTGGAAAATGTGTTTGTGTTCTTCAAGCCCTCCCAGGAGATTTAAATAGCACAGGCCACTAGAAAATGCTCTGAAATATGTTGGTTTTTCTGAAGCCTTATTTATGGAGGGGGGATAAAAGCCAACGTTGTTGTCACCGCGCGGCCGATCCAAAAAATATTAGCTGGGATTTGAAATGCTTGGGAGGAAAAAACAAACAGGCCCAGCCAAACACAAAACAAACTGGCACCCTGAAAGCAGCAGTGGGAATGACAGAAAATCTCCAAAATGATGAGGAGAGCATGGCTGGTACAGGGCCACCAGAGAGCTCTGCGAGTGTCCTTTGCCTCAAGCTCTGTCCATGTGCAGAAACCTTCAGGGCGTTGTAAGGAACAGCTTTTCCAAGGATATTTCAGCTTTTCCAAGGATATTTCAGCTTTTCCATGGATATTTCAGCTTTTCCACAGATATCTCAACCTTTGATCTCACCTTTGGAGGCTTTGTGCAAACAACACACCTTGAGTTAGCCATAAAACCCCTAAATGCCCATAGCAATGCATGATGGAGATTCAGGGAATGCTTAAATGAGTTTAGTGTTTGTTTTCTTGCAGGTTTTTCTGGTTGCTTGGTTGGGTTTTTTTGTGAAATTACTGTCTGACTTATCTCTGGTTTTGACCTATATAACTGTTGCAGTCATTTCTAAAGATTATAATCTTGTGTTTAACACAGTAAATCATATTTAATCTTCTCAATCATATTCTCCCCTCTCCTCAAAGCGTGGATATCTCTCTGTGGAGGGATAAGTTGGCTGGATTTGGTTCTGCACTGATGCATGCTCCATGTTCAGCTGAGCTCCTGGTGGGACTTTGTTGAAATAGGAAAACAGGGAAATTTGGGGGATAGAGAGATGTGAACCTGCTACTGAAGCCTGTATGGACACTGCCCCTGTTCTCCTGAGGGGTGAACCAGCACCAGCACGTGGCTTTGCTCTAAGATTTTAGAATGAGTGTGACGACCAAGTCAGTTACAAAAATATTATAAAGCAATATTCAATTGCATATAAATCACATATTAGCTTGTCTCTTTAATATAATGCCATAAATATTGCAAGAAAAGAGCAGCAATTGAAAACATTTATGGCTTCTTGACATGTCAGCCCATCCCTACAATATGAATAGCTCCACTGTTTGGTTTTTTTGTATATCTGAAAGTGAGTATCAAAATGATATCTAATATTTCTGTCTAGAATAGCAACGTTTTAATGCTAAGCCTAATGCACTGGATTTAAAATGAGAGAAACAGAATTTAAGCCATCACATTAATGGAACAGCTCAACAACCCTGAGAGCAATGGAGCAGAGAAACAGCAGCGTTGTGCTGAATTTACAGTCAAATATAACCCCCAAGGGCTCTGTGATCCCTTTCCAAAAGGGGAGACTTGATGAGCAAAATGTGAATATCTGAGTGGTCTAAAAGCCCTCCCCAAAACCCACACCGAGGTGATAATTTTTGTGAGTTTTTGGTGATACTTTTAATGCATTTAATAGCTGAAAAGAGATGATTGGAGAGTCTGTGACTCCTGGCTGTGTTGCATAAAGCAAATTCTTGTCCTGTCCCCCACGCTGGGCATGCTCCTGCCCTGGATTGCCCAGAGCCCCGTGCTCAGGGCACTGCACATCCCAGGGACCCTGCAGCTTGTGGGACTGCAGGGCACCAGGGAAAAGCAGCAGCTGCACTGGAGAGAAGATGGGAAAGGAGAGCAGAGCATATTCTCACTGTTCACACACACTGTGGAGTTCAGTTCTTTAAAAGTGAGACACGGTGTGATCCAACCATTGCTCTGTCCTCAGCTGCTCAGCAAACCCAGCCATTGTTCAGCATGTTCTGTTTTCACCTGAGTTATGCTCTTTGGATGTCACAGGACGCCCCTCTCTGTCACTCCTGTGGGGGTTTTCAGGCACGCTTGCCTTGCTGGGTTTATTTTGGTGCCGTGCTGGGTGCACAGGTGACCCCACAGAGGGTGGGTAAGTCACAGAGCCCCTGTTTTCCACCCCAAACCCTTCCCTTCCCCAAATCCCTCCCTCCCTGGAGCAGGGAGCTGGGTCCTGGGGCAAGGTTTGGTCCTGGACTCTGTCTGGTCGGAAGGAAGGATTTGAGGGTGGGGATTATCACAACCCTTCTGTTGTTAGTCTGAGCCTGTGTGAGATGATGTAGAGCATCCTTTATTTAAAACCACATCTCTGCTTCACCCAGGCCTGGCTGACTTGCCCTCTGAACCTGAGTGGAATTAAATAAACACCTCTTCCTGCTGCCTGAGTTGGGAACAGACCTTCACAGGTGAAAAGTTAGGGAGAAACTCCAAAGCAGCTTCAGGACACAGATATATTTCAGAGATTTCAGTGTGCTAAAGAATGGGATTATAGGCTGAAAAAATCACTCAGATTAGACTTCTCATTCTTGTTTGTGCTGAGGCATAAGATGATTCCCATTTCTATCAAGTTCCTGAAGTGCTGCAGAGTGACAGCAGAACATTAAAGTGCCAGTGGGAGGAAAGGGAATTCTCTGTACAGAAACATTTGAATATATCCTTAATATTTAAGAAGAGGGAAGTGGCAGATGGTGACGAGCTCTGGGGTTTGTTTTAGCAAGGTAGAGACTGGCTTGTTGAATTTGCTATAAAACCTTAGCAGAAGCCATGTGTGACAATCATCCTTGTGAATACTTTGAGATATTCTTGTTTACCAAAGATTCTTCCTACTTAAACTCCTGTGAGGGGATTGGATCAGTGGATACAACTTGAATGACTGAATTATTTTTTGAAAGCATGTAGCCATGCATAATGATCTTCTGAATTGTTCCCAGTAAATCCAAAAGTGCAAAAATGATAAAATAATATCCAGTGAAAAATGAGAGCTGAAACTACCTTGAAAAGCAAGCAACCAACCAACCCACCTCACTGTGCACACTCACACACTTGAATTTAGAGAGATTACCTACTGCTTGTGTATTCCAGAAAAAGGTAAATCGTGATCATTTTAACATCTGTGAGAGCTTGATGTGACTTCAATGGGCTCAAGACATATCTGCTTAAATTTATATAAATTTATATATTAATGAATAGATATTAATGATATATCAATGATATATAATGAATATTATATAGTATAATGATATGTATATAATGATATATATAAATTTTATATATGTATATATAATGATTTATATATGGATATATATTAATGAATTATCTCCTTATTGGAGCTGAACAAAGAGTGGGAAAATCCTGTGAGGTTCTGAATGTGTCTTTGGGTTTTTGCTTCCCCATCAGCATTCATACAAATGGATTTTTGTTGGTGTGAATATGAGGGAAGGACTCCTGGCCCTGCAAATATCCCTGTTCTCAATGAACAAAGGGTTTGCTCTCCCAGCTGGAAGTGCTGCCCTCTCTTTGGAGAGTTTGGATCATGCAGAGCTGCCACACACATCAGAGCACAGGTGATGAGGAATCCTCCAAAACCAGATGTGCTGACACCACTCACAGAATGAAGCACATTTTTCAAAATTATAAATAGCAAAATTTTTCGTCAAAATATCGTTTCTTAGCAAAAACCTCCCGAATGTCAGGACAGCTTTCTTTCCTTTCCTATCCTTTTTTTATTTCCCCATTTTTAATCCCTCGTGTGATTTATTCTGTGTAGGTCATCTGGGTTTAACTGTAGGGGCAGCTGGAGCCTTTTCCAGCTTTCCCAGCATTTTGAGCTAAATTATTTTGGGCTGAAATATGCAGAGGTTATCAGCATTGAACTTCAAAAAAGCTGAGTGATTCCATGTACCTTTATTTGTTTGATTTCATACCGGATCATTTTGTGGGTATCAAGGGGATCATCACTGGCAGGAACCACCTTTTCACTGGATATTTTTGCTCGGATCACTGGAAGAGACACAGAGAGAGAGAGATTTAAATGCAAATGAGCAGATGCCCAGTTTTATAAGCAAAAATGAAAATTGTATTGATAGATTTTAGCATTGTTTTGACACTTCATCTACAAGTAAATTTTAAGAACATCAGCTGAGCTCCTGAACACAAAAGTAAGTGGGCTGTCTGTGTGTAAATCTGAATTCCCAAGAATCTGGAAACCTGATTGATGTTACCACTCAGTTTTGACAAAAAATGTTCATCAAAATCTCTGGAAGACTCGAATCCCATAAAATTTGACAAAATACCCATCATTATAATCAGTGAGCAGCAGAAAGGGACACTTCTGTTGATGACAGAATCGTTGATCAAATAAATAGACTTGAAGTAAGCCCTGAAAGCCTGTGCCTGGCAAGATGAAAGCATTGATTTCATGCATGAAATTAGAAGAATAATCTTATAGTCACTTTTCTGATGCTTCAAAGGACAGGCCATTAGTTGTGTTCACCTGTAGAAATCAATTACTTCCTGTTTGGATGTACTTAATTTATTTCCTGTTCTTTAATCAAGGAGAGTAGGAGATTTTATGAGAGAAGAAATGGATTCTTTTTCCTCTCACTTTGTTTGAGGCATCTCTCATGTGTGATGTTTAAAATACACCAGGACTCTTTGGCACAGTGGATATAAGAATATGGTGCATGGCCAAAATTCCTTTGTGGATTTTACCCCCCAAAATTGGTGAGAGCCCCATTTTTGCTCCATTCTGGATGGGCACTGCTGCAGCTCCTGGGTTAGAACAGTCTGTGCTTGTGGAGAGACACTGGCAAAGCCAGAGCAGGGGAGAGGTTTGTGACATCAAAATCATGTGTTCCCCCCCAAAAAATCCCATTTTTTTACTAGATTGACCTCATTTTAATCATATTTAATATCATAGCTAAAGAAAAGGAATAGGAAACCCAGCCAGGTAGAGTCAGTCCCACCCAAGCCTGGACAATTCCCATTTCCTCACTAATTAGCCAAGCAAACTGGATGGAATAATCAACATGTTGCAGATGCCTGCAGCTCCCAAGCTCCAGCAGGATCCTCCCTCCCTCCTCCTGAGCCATTAAATCCTTCTTGAGGAGCATTTTAGACTTCTTGGGAGGAAAGAGTTCTTGTATGTACGAGCAGCAAATTCCTCATTTCCCGTGGAAAGTGGCAGCATCTCTTTAATCATCTGCAGATGTGAGCAATGCCACAAATTAACTGAGTGTCTGCAGTGCTCTCATCTCCTTCCAGGGGAAAAGTGGTGTGGACTGTGTGTGCTCTACCCTGCTGGCAGGGACAAATTAGGATGGTGTTGTTTTGTTTTGAGATGCTCTCCTTTGCATCATTACTCCCTAAAAAAAAAAAAAAGGATTTCTCATTAAAGAGTCTGTTCAATTCTGAAGGAAAGTGTTGAGAAAACAACATTATTTTCTCAGTACCATAACATGGTTTATATGCAGGGAATCTTCTCCTGCCTACTCAGTGTGGGATAATTAAAACTACTTTCCCCCCGTGTTTAATGTTGAAACATTGTGCATTTCCATATTTTTATGAAATTCTACTTGTTAGCACACGAGAGGAAGGTTACAGATAATCCCTGATAGCTCCAGGGGTCTCCATGGAGTTGTGCAAGGCTGAAAGTGTAACGTCCTGGGGGTTGTCATGAACAGAACTTTTAGTGGGTGTGCAGATGAAAATGTATTTTATTGTTGTGTGTCTTTCATTCTTCTGCTTGCTTAAGAGAAAGCTTCCAGATGGCAAAGGAGGACAAACTAAGATTTTTTTTTTTAACAGTAAGGAAGTTTAGCTGTCTAAACTTTTAGCTATTTGGGTTTTACCCTTCCATTCTCCTGAAACCAGATTCAAACACACAGAGCTCTTTTGGCGCCTTTTAATTCTTCTTGGGTTTCTTTTCATTTCTATTTTCTGTGCATTAATATTTTTTTGCCATCAGTGTCGTCTAGCTGTCTCCTCAAACCTCTGATTCATGTGGTTGCTCCTGTTTTTAACCACAAGCACTTCCTGCTGGAGCATTCCTGGGCATCTCCCTCTCCTCACTCGTGGTTCAGGGGGCTCAGGATTGCTCCGACTCTGCACTTCTTTTCAGGACATGGTTTCAGCTATTCCCCGGCTGGCTTGGCCTCTGTGTGTGAGAGAACAGCCTCTGGTTGTTCAGTAATAATGTCATTTTAGCTGTTATTGCTTCCTTATGAGGAATTTGCATCTATGGAATACATAGGCACAGATTTCATATTCCAGTGCCAGTAATTCCGAATGCCTCGGATTCGTTCTGCACTGAGAATACAGACTTTCATATTTCACTAGGGGGATGTAGCTTTTCTGTGGACTCAACTTTGATAAAATGTCATTTTTTATCCTCACTTCGCAGCTGGAGGTTGTCTCAGGTGGCTGAACTGAAAGGAAATGAATTTGAGCTATAGGAGGACAATGCTCAGCCCTTGGGCGCTCAGGATTAAAAACATGCTTAGAATATATTTACTCCTTCTTTCCTGGATAATAATGAACCTCTCCAACCATTTGTAAATCGCTAGAAGATCATTTTAACTGGGTAAAACACAGAACATACTTAGTATGTCTTTTGATATATTTGTGTTTATACAGTCAGGAGAAAAGTGTCAGGGTTTGTACAATACAAAAGTGTTTGTAGGCAATAAGGGCAGAAAGTGAGGCATGAGCAGCATCTTTCCCAAACCTGGGTGATTTCCTTCTAATTTCTTTTTCTTCTAATTAGCTACACTAATTAACACCTGTAAATAGCTGCACCACCACCTTGTGTGATAGAGATGTTTGTGATCTTGAGGAACCACTTTTATTACAGGTACATTTCCTCACTCTGAGGAAATTCCCTGCCATGAGATTGATTTTACTCCACCACAGTGACAAAAACAATGGAATCTGAAGGGAGAGAAGACACAAAGAACTGAGGGCCATTCCAAGGCCCAGATATGGATGGAATCTGAATAAACCAAATCTTTGCACTTTGCCCACTGAAATTCATATATTCCCTAAAAGTAGTGGCCTTTTAAGACTCTGAGTTATTTCTAAGGCAATAACTGAGAGAAAAATGTAGAGTGAAAAATTACTCTCATTGCTACAAGTTGGTATTATTAAATACTATTAAATAATTCTGTACTGCAGTATTTAATATTTTATAGAATATCACTGTACTTAAGTGGTGAAATTATCCTCAAGCTACTTTTCACAGCCCAAGTGTTTGAAGACAGGCAACTTTATTCAGCTGAAATAATCAATTTTACTACTCCTTCAAAAAGGAAAGCCAGCTGGAGTTTACTTCCCAGATAAACTTTATAATCCTAAGAAGCAGGAGGTAAAGGAGAAGATAAAAAACTGATGAACAAATGAGGTCTTTTCCTCCACTATCCATTAAATACCAGCAACTGCATAGTGAAAAATAATTCTCTAGGAAGATATTTAAGATACTGCTGGGCATAAGAACAAGAAATTATATAAATCCTTATGTGCATTCTTGTTTTAAGTAAATAGATAAATAGTTAAATAGATGCAGGTATATTGAGGAAGAATCTGTTTCAGATGTGCCTCCAGCTCACTTCAGGTTTTTCCCAGGCTACACCCTAGCTCTGTGAATGGAAATGTGATCTCCAGCTCCTCTAAGCAGTCTTCCCCTCAAGAAATCAGGAAATTTTAGTTCCTATCTCACAAGTTTATAATCACAACCAGCTTTGCTACAAAAACCTTGAAATGAGACTTCAAAAACTATGTTGGCAAGAAAAGGTGTAAGATACTACAAAGTTATATCAGGACTCATGAAGCTCTTTTTTTTTTCTCTTTATTTTAAAGCCTCAAAGTAGCCCTTTCATTTAATTACCTAAAGTATAAAGAGTAATATTTGAACACTTCTTTCCACCTGTCTCTTTCATGTCTGACACTTCAGTCAAGCTGTTCTTAGATGTTCTTCCTGTTGGAGGGACAAGGAATAAAAGGCACAAGGAGAGGCACCTAAATGAAAGTGTGTGGCTGTTCCATGGTTGGACTGAGGATGGCATCCTAAATAAAGATAAAAAGCCTCCAAAAAGTGTTTTTCTGAAACACCACATCAGTCAGAGTGTGCAGTATGAAATGTAGCAGAGCTATGGACACAGAATATGGATGTGCATCACTTTGAAGGTCCTTATATTCAAATTAACTTATCTTTATAAAAGTCTTTCAAAAGTCTTTTCCACCAAAATGAAAGCACTTTCCTCACAATATGCAGCTGTTTCTGCTCACTCTTCTGCTGGAAGATTAACTCAAACTTCTATCATCTATCTATTACCTATCAATTATCTATCTGTCTGAACTTTTCCCTTCTTTGGGGTGCAGGAGCTTAAAACTTGCTCCATAAATGTCTCAAATTCCTAGAAGACCCCACCAAGAATTTTGGTAAAAGGAAAACCTCTCAGTGACAACTGCTGGAGCCCCAACCACAGAGACCTTGAGTTTATCCAAAATCAGTTCAAAAACTCTTCTTGTCCAAAAGTGATGGGTTTGGGGGGTGAGGGAAAAGAGGGCTTTTTCCTCACAAGTGTATATGTAGACTTTTTTTTTACCTCAGAAGATGTTATTGGGAGATGATTTTGCCTCACTGCAACACTTTTGTGAGATCCAACACTGTTTTACATATCCAAAGGAATCCCAATAATTCCTGTTCCATTTTCCCTTTCCTGCACTGGCCCAGTTCTGATCCCAGGCTACTCAGACATGGTTGGAATGTGACACTGGCTCTGTGTCTTGGGTCTGTGCACTGGAAGAATTTATCAAAAGAACATGCAGAAGAGTCCACACGAGGGGTTTGGAGCTGTAAAGGTCAAGTTTTTGGGTCTAGTGATTAAGAAAAATAAAGTAGGATTTAGAAGAGTAGAGTAATAGAATAGAATTTCGAATATTAGACTAATATTAGGATAAAGCAGGAAAGAGCTGAAGTGGCTCTGGGCTCTGCAGGCCAGGTG